TATATATATATGTATATATATATATATATATATATATATATATTAGATGACATTTTCTGTTTTTCCAAATTTTTAACTGTAGTAGAAATTTTTCCCAAATTTATATTTTTCATGAAATTTTAAAAACAAAAACTGATGGTAATATGCCATTTATATTTTAAGATGGTAATATGCCATTTATATTTTAACTGTAGTAGAAAATTTTCCTAAATTTATATTTTTCATGAAATTTTAAAAACAAAAACTGATGGTAATACGCCATTTATATTTTAACTATATGAGGTGTCTGTTTGGTCGGAGTAGTTAAGGTGTGAAGCGTGTGTAATGTTGCTCCTGGGGCTGGATGCTGAATAAGTGGTTAACGACAGCTTTGACTGCTTAAGGCGTGCCTAGTTACGCATTATATATATATATATGGAGGACGAATTTGATGAAAAAAAGAATATTGAATTGGAGTCCAATAAATAGTTAGATGAAATTTAAGCTCTTATGTTATTTATGTTATATAATTATGATTTTGAAACAAATATTTTTGTTGAAAACTTGAAAAAATGAATATAATTCCTATAAATTTATTTTAGATGTTTGGTATGTATTATTTTAATTATTAAATGATTTTTAAATTGATTAAAAATTTAAAATAATATTAAAATAACGTAACGTTTTATTATTATTATTAAATTTTACGCTAAGGCGTTGCCTAAGCTCATCCTACCCGAAACTTAACCTTCACGTATCGTCAAGTATTACGCTTTTTAAAACACTGATTTTTACCATATTCTACTCTCAATTCTTATGAATGTAAGAGTTTCACAAGATATTTATTACACAACGTGATTTCCTTTCATAAAATTTTCATTTTCTCTAAACTCTAATCGGTAATTGTTTGTATCATTTTACTTGTTTTATGCCCACTTCATATTTTGAGGCTCATTATTTCCCCAACCAAATATATCTTTCATTATAAATAAACATCCGTATTTCAAAATTTATCAACGGATGTCTAATCAATCGAAAATGTGCATCAATTTTGCATCTTATTTTAAACAATAGCCCTAACTCTAAAACCTAATTGATTAGTAAGTTAAACAATTTTTCTTTTAGATCTCCTCGTGCTTAACTATTTTGTAAGTTCACATCCATAATATACTCGATACACAAGATTAAGCCTCTGTTTGATGAAAATTAAAATTTTGATTTAATTTAAGTAAAAGTCAACAATTAATTCTAACTACAAATTTCATGGGATTCATAATTTTTCAACATCACATTTCATCAATTTTTATTAAAAAAAATTTATTAAAATTTTGATTTTAATCTCCACCAAAAAAAAAAAAAGTGCTAAATATGAAGATTGAAGAAATGTATACCATAAAATTTCTTAATCTTTAATGAACATCTAGTTATTAACGAAGCCCTTCAATTAAGCACCAGTTTGACAATCATTATTTTTGAAATATTTTTTCTCTATATATACTCATTTTCAATCACCATTCATACAATAAAATATTATGCACATAAGCTCACAATTTTTTTTCCCAACTTTTTAATTATATATTTTCCTATAAATTACTATTCAAAACTCTAATTTTTCAAATAATGGTCGTCAAATAGGGGCTAAATTTATTGTATCCAATGAGGCCTTTTTTATTATTTGATAGTAAGAAAAGGTTGAAGAGATCTGTCATTATCCCATACTGGATCTACAAAATCCGGTTGAGTTCTTCCTCTACAAGCAAGGTTCGACCAGTTGTACATAGCATCTCATGCTCACTCCAATCGAGCACGCTGGACACGGGACCCTCCATACATGGATTAGGTTTGACTTGATGATAAAACCACATGTGACATCATGATCAAGGAAAGTTGTACTCAAAACCTTTGATCTACTGTTAAGGATATGCATGGCTACAGAGGTCCATAAAATAATAATTATGAGAGAAAAAGTAATATAGAAAGCTGACTTAAAATGACTCACACTTTTGCATTATCTTTTCAGCATCATCATTGATATCTCTCCACTAGTTTAGATTAAAAAATATAAGTTTTTGATTAGTTTATATGAGCATTAAGCTCATAGGATTCCATTCTGCGTTCCTAAATCATGTTTAAGGTCGTGGATTAGTTAAAGTTCATTATAGGAAAATGCAGTTATATCAATTTATATGCACATAAAGAAGACGTTTCCGTTGGTGTAAATTTGATCCGCAGTATTGGACGAGATTAGACATATTAAAAAAAGAAGATAAATTTTTTTGCAATATATTTTTCATTTTTCGATTGTGACTAATACCCATTGTCTTTTAGAGAAACGGGTTCTGTGTGTAAGAATTTTTCAAAAATTAGGTTGAAAAAAGTTGACTTTGTAGTTAGTTGACTTGCCCTAAAAAGTTTGCCAACTTTAGGGGTGGTAAAAGGGTATCCCTTTAGCAAAAGGAGTTTATTAATTAGGATTTTCTCTTTTAATGGACCTTTACTCATTGCAATGAAAACTCCCTCCCTCCCTATATTTTATATTTGTATGCATGTATATAACACAAAAAATGTTTGTTTGAAGGCATGCGTGCTCTAAAAAGAAGTCGATTAAATTTTGTGGGATTGTACCATTTAATCTTATCTAATAATTACTGCTCATTGAATATCTACAATGTATGTTAGGGAGGATTGACAAAAAAAATCTTTTGAATACCTAATTTACCATTACATATTTAGCTGTATATCTAATATACCTTTATTTAATTTTAATTTTGAGGATTGAGGAGAAACTTTTGAATATCCAATTTACTCTTTCATATTTAGCTATATACTTAATATACCCGTATTTAATTTTAGTTATGTTAATATTTAATTAATAATAATAAATTCATTGCATATTTAGTTATATACCCAATATACCCTTCTTTAATTTTAGTTTTGTTAATAATTAATTAATAATATTAATTTAATTTATTCAACATGAAATTTAAAAAAAAATCATTTTCTTTCCCATTTGTCAATGATTCCCTAAATTAATCTTTTTAATATTATATTAATTTTTATTAACTGCTTTTATTATAAAATATAACTTAAATTTCTTCCTTCAGTTGAGTTAGTTAATTTAAAAAAATAACATCCATGTTCCTTTATTTAAATGGTTGTTTATACATGTCCCAACAATTAAATAATATATTTAATGTAATAAATTAATGCATATGGAATGTTACTATACAATTTGATAAAATTTTATTTTAAGTTATATTTACCCTTATTAAAAGTTATTTTAATTGGTTACTACATATGAATCCCTATAATACCTAAGTTAAGATAAAAATAGAATATCAAATGATAGGGTAATTATATACTCCTTAAAATTTTTATTAACTATACAATATTATAACTACACTAAATATTTATAATCTTTGCCCATTTTCACACTTAAGTCCTCAATTATGTTTTGCTATATTTTTATCATAATATGAAACCAAATAAATTATTATGACATTATAATATATGTTGAAATTCTAAACCATCCACACACAACATTAATAGATTAGAAATTTCAATATACAGACATATGAATCCCTATAATACCTAAGTTAAGATAAAAATAGAATATCAAATGATAGGGTAATTATATACTCCTTAAAATTTTTATTAACTATACAATATTATAACTACACTAAATATTTATAATCTTTGCCTATTTTCACACTTAAGTCCTCAATTATGTTTTGCTATATTTTTATCATAATATGAAACTAAATAAATTATTATGACATTATAATATATGTTGAAATTCTAAACCATCCACACACAACAT